TGACTAACACCCCAACAATTGTACTCACTGCCATCACCCAATTATTTAAATAAAATTTACTGATATTGAAAATCAACTTGCCAGGTAATTAATTAATTTTCTCGGGACAAGCAGATTGTATATATGTTAGGCTTATGTTGATGTCCCCCCCCCCTTCCCGAAGGTCGAATTAATGACCCACCCTAGGATGCAGTTCCACAAAACTTAAACCAATGCCCAGGTACCTATTTATTGTAAGGTGAACGGAGGCATTAGGTGATAGGAAACAAGCCCAGTCGTTTCTGTTCCACCCAGGACTCCCGATTATGAGTCAAGAACTAACCAAACTGTACTACTGTACTTTGACTATGCTTTACTTACAAAGTAAACATAAGATTTTATTTAATTCAAAGTAGGATGAAACTGCCATATTGTATCAATAGCATCAGTCTATTGCATGCCTTCCAAGAGTTTATTCTAGTTTACATACTAATTTTCTTTTAATTATGTAATAGTTTACAATAATCACACAGGAAGCCCATAAAACTTTTTTTTTAGTTAATATTCCAAGAATGTCAAGAAAATCAATTACTGTATTGTGGTAAGCAGCACTCATTCATTGTTTCTCAGACTATGCAACTGTTGTGGTTTGCATCCTGTGAAAGGTCGGTCAGTCATTTGGCATATGGGGACCTCCATAAGCCTAATGGGCTGATTAAGTACAATATTACAAACTACACAGCACAGCAACTTGACTAAATACTTGGCAGATGGTGAGTTTCGCAAATCCTTAGCCATGTAAAACTTGCAAAAATTAAAACTGTCAAGTGACCACTAAAAAGGTGTGCGTTGATGCACCTGGTCGAGTGGCGTGACTCCACGATACCACAGTCTTATTTGTAATTCTTATGAGTAATATGAGGTTACTGTTGGAATTTGTGGCTTGCTTACTCCACCCCTCCCCCCCAAACAATTCTTTGGACTAAAATTTACAAAGTTACAGCACTGTATTTAGAGAAGACTGGAGCAGCATTTTAATTGTATCAATTGGATTTATCCCCATTTAATGATTGGGCAATGCAACCTACCCAAAACTCTCAAAACCAATTTTTTTAAAGTATTGTATTGTACAGTAGTACAGTACAGTACTACACATTCTTGAATTTGGGATGATTCTAATAAAAAAATATAACAGCAATACAAACATTGTTAAAACAGTTCTCATTAAATAATTAGGATAAATATGAAATGATACCATCACCAACCCAAAACGTTATGTAACAAGTGCTGAGAAGACAGAACACCATAAGCATACCTCTCTCATACCATAAGCATACCTCTCTCATACCATAAGCATATCCGGTAACTACACTTAGGTAATTACTGTACCTGGAGCTCAGGACCATACTTAAGCAGGGCATTACTACTGCCATGTGTATCATTGTCCAATTTAAATTGTAATTGTTACACAACTTCTCCACAAACTTCACAAAAACACAGTTACAGTGAGTGAAAGAGAGAAGATGGTATTCTGACTTCATTGCTGCTACTGCTGCCAGTGAAGGTTAATTTTTTGTATGCAAAATATTCATTCTTTGAGCAGTAGTATAATGAGTACCCCATACTCATCCTGTGAGCAATAGTAAATTGAGCACCCTATTCATAACCAGTGAGTAGCTTATTGAGCACCCTATGTTCATCCTGTTAGCAGTAGTTGAGCTCCATATACTCATTCTGTGAGCAATTGCTTATTGAGCACCCCATATTCATCATGTAAGCACTGCTTATTGAGCACACCATATTCATCTTGTGAGCAGTTGCTTATTGAGCACTGCATATTCATCCTGTAAGCACTGCTTATTGAGCACACCATATTCATCTTGTGAGCAGTTGCTTATTGAGCACCCCATATTCATCCTGTAAGCACTGCTTATTGAGCACCCCATATTCATCATGTAAGCACTGCTTATTGAGCACACCATATTCATCATGTAAGCACTGCTTATTGAGCACACCAATTCACTTAGGTAATTACACCATATTCATCATGTAAGCACTGCTTATTGAGCACACCATATTCATCATGTAAGCACTGCTTATTGAGCACACTATATTCATCCTGTGAGCAGTTGTGCAAAAGGATTACAGTAGAAAACATCTTAATTAAGGCCCCAGCATGTGTTGGCATCAGTTATTAAAATTACCATGTAAATTTGACAAAATAATGTCACTGTAGGTAACAGAACCAGACTGTAATTGCTATACATAAAATTGCAACAAAGCATATTAGAATTATCATTTATAAAATATCCTCCATGGCATTAATACACTGGATATTGAAGGATTCTGCAGGATATCGCAAGATGAGTGACAAGAGTTTGCTCTGATTTACATAGCCTAGAAATACACGAAGCTGAAACTGGAGTGTATGGTTGATGAACTGTATTATGCAACATTATATTTGTATCTCATTTTCTATGTATGTAATTTTACCTGAATAAACGTTTTTTTTTTTTAACTATTGTAGAGTACTTTGCATGGGCAATGCAAAACTTGAACTGGCTTTAGTAGAAGCCTTCAGACTTCCAGTGGATTTAGTGGAACCCTAGGCTGTATAACTTGTATACAATGTAGTGGTACAGGCGGTATGGTGCGCAACTCGGAGTACTCTGATCACTGGTTCGAGTCACCGCACTGCTCCAACTTATAATTTCCTTGCATATATTTTCACTTATCCTCTAGAAGCAATTATGTGGATACAGTGACAAATATCATGTATTTTATCATTAACAATAGTGGTGTGCATGCCATTTTATGCACCATTAATTTAAATTTACTTATAAAATGTACAAATTTTACACGGGCCAAGGTTTTTAACCTAAGCCACACCCACTCGTGTAAATGTCCAACCTAAGCCACACCCACCCATGTAAATGTCCAACCTAAGCCACACCCACCCATGTAAATGTCCAACCTAAGCCACACCCACCCATGTAAATGTCCAACCTAAGCCACACCCACCCATGTAAATGTCCAACCTAAGCCACACCCACCCATGTAAATGTCCAACCTAAGCCACACCCACCCATGTAAATGTCCAACCTAAGCCACACCCACCCATGTAAATGTCCAACCTAAGCCACACCCACCCATGTAAATGTCCAACCTAAGCCACACCCACCCATGTAAATGTCCAACCTAAGCCACACCCACCCATGTAAATGTCCAACCTAAGCCACACCCACCCATGTAAATGTCCAACCTAAGCCACACCCACCCATGTAAATGTCCAACCTAAGCCACACCCACCCATGTAAATGTCCAACCTAAGCCACACCCACCCATGTAAATGTCCAACCTAAGCCAAACCCACCCATGTAAATGTCCAACCTAAGCCACACCCACCCATGTAAATGTCCAACCTAAGCCACACCCACCCATGTAAATGTCCAGCTATGCTTGAAATAATTCAAATACAGTAAGTTGAATTCAAGCTGTCACAATATTTACTAATAGACTACTATATACTGATTTTGTTACTTCTTCCATACATTTGATATATTTGAGACATTTCAATGTAGCTGATCTGTAGTCTGTGTGTGAACTCTTCTGTTTTAAAACAAATTCAGATTTTATCTTCTGATAAAATTTTAGCTTTTAGTCTAAAAGTCTAAACAGCTTTTAGACTTTTGTTTGGAAATGATCAATCTTTTTGATACCCCTGCTGTAATACAAACTATAATACCAGTACATCACTTTAACCTAAAGATTATGATGTGCTTGCAATAATTTGCTAGTCAAATTAGCACCAAATGTTCATGCACTTGCAACATGGCAGCTTTGGGAATAGCTTGTATTCCCGAAGTAAGGAATAATATAGCCTTATTAGGCTATGAGATTATTCATTACTTTTAACATATTATAATTATAATATTCATATTCATCATGCTTATTATATTCTATGTATAGTAGTAGCAGGCCCTGTAAGGGCTAATTTGTTTTAATTTGTAAAAAAAAATTGTATATTCAGGGATTACCACCTCTGGCTGGAAGAAGGGGGACCCACAGCAGAGAAAATCACACAAAATGCATTGGTGAGGATTTATGCATCCTCTCCTATGCAGTTTCCGTGTTCTTTCACCCTACCACCTATTATGAGTTTGTTGTGCTTTATTAAATAGTTTTTCTAGGAAAACATTTAAAAAACTATGTTTTGGCCAGTTAAAGCACAATTAACCAGAGGATTAACTGAAGGAGCAAAAAATCAAAGGCCTCAAATAATTACTAACATTCTTAAAAGCATATAATGCTGCAAATAAGTTATGGTATACCCTAAACATTTGACTTGTTAATTTTGTTAATTTATTATGCATCCCATACCCATCCTGTGGGAAGTATTGGAAAAAGGTTACCATACCCACCCATGTATATGCCCAACCTAAACTAAACAAACCCATGTATATGCCCAACCTTTCATACAATCCTATAAAGCCTTAACACACAACATTTCAGACCTTTACCCATTAAACCTTAATACGTAGATTCGGTAAAATGGATGTAGGAAGCACTATATATGTGACTTCCTGGTAAATCTCCCCCCCACCCCTCCATTATCCATCAGTTCCCACACATTTGGCAGTAGCATCAGAGATTGTGACAGTCATAGGACAATCTATCACAAATACGAATGTCAAGCATATGGCCCTATATATCCTTTCAGAATAACTGGCAATACAGTATTAACAACAGCAAATAAGAAAAACTGCCCCCAGGAGACAAGTGTTCCATCACACATACCCAACACATGAACAAAAATACATGTAAATGGGACAGATTCCAGTTCCCAGGAAGAGGGTGTTGTTACGAGTGATTGAGAGGGTTAAGAAGAGGGGAAAAGGAGAGGGAAAAGGAGGAGGAAAGGGCATGTGTATATGTAGTGGGGAGGGAGAGAGAGGGCAGAGTAGCTCCCTAGATTTGTTTGGCCTTGAGAGTAAGGGAGGCTGGTTGAAGACTCCTCTTACCTTGCAGAGTTCTCCACGATATCCCGAATCTTGCTCATCTTGGACGAGTCCTGCGGCGGCACCACCTTCCACTGCGTATCTCCATTGGCGCCGGTGCCGTTCGAGTGGCACTCCAGGCCGTGGGGAGCGTGTATCCCCGCGGCCGTAGTAGTATCAGAGAGAGCCCCAGTGCCCACACCACTAGCCCCCACCACCACCACACCGTTGGTCTGCCCACTGCTCCCCACTGACACACCGTCACCCCTCATACTGACCATATCCCCCGCCGGCACACCTCCTCCACCACCTACATCCATAACATCGCGGTACCGCGAGCTGGTCAACGCCACAGAAGGGTTGAGAGGGGCGCGGGAACCTCGCCACTACTGCACCTCCACCATCTTGAGCCACAATCAGCTGAAGCCACAATCAGCTGTGCCGCCGCCGCCGCCGCCGCCGCCACACACACACACACAAAGAGATTTAAAAATGGTCGCCTGCGTCGCTTTTCTCTCTCTTTTCCCATCTCTCCTGCTTATTATATTCCATCTCGGTGCTATTTATCTCTTCTGGTCGAATTAATATCGGTTCAGAAAGCGGTATATGATGACTTTCGCCGTCCATGCAAGATTCTCTTAATTTGATCTGGGGCTCCACTGACAAGCTTCTGAAAACTAGTTATTTCGCAATATTTGTTCCTGATGGCATAATATGGATTTAAATAAATTAAATATTTGTATAAGTAATTTAAATACATTTAAATAAAGTCATATTAGCATCAATGGTAGTTGTTTCTTATTTCAACAACACGAAAATGCCTAGTAATTCATATGCTTATAAACTACAATGTATAATCTCCAGAAGCCACAAACTATACTACTTGCTTTATATAATATGATATATGTATTTACACACGTAACCAATCATTTGAGAATATAAGCTAAGTATATTTCAGTGATCAAAATAATATTTTAGTCCAGGATAAAATAAAGACACAATAGAGAATAAATTAATATTTTAGATATTGTAATTATTATTATTAACAAGCCTAGGTATACACAGCAATGTGCTGCAACCCTATTCTATATAAAAGGGGACTGGTTGATTTGTACATAACCATTTCGGATAATGTCGGTTCGGTACAGTAAAGAAAATTTTCTATACACCAACCGTTTCGTATATACATATGCGCTGGCTCGTGTTCGCTGCTGTTCTCTTCCAAGACAATAAAATGACCAAAAACGAGGCAATAAAAGTTGATAATGAGTTAGGAATATGAATAAATATATGGCACATGATTATATAATTAGCGCATGTCTTCAAATGATATATAAGTTAGGTTCTTTTATTTTCTCCTTATACAATTTAATGAATGGAAGATAACCATGAGACATAATCAGGAAGAACATTGACTAACTAAAAGACTCCAAAGCCCCAGGTGTGAAATACAATTCAAAATCATTAAGGGAACTGGCAGAAGAACTATGCCTACCACTGAAATTACTTTTGACAAAGTATCTGGCCCAAGGAATAGTGCCCTTAGATTGGAAATATGCAAATGTCACCTTTTAAAAAGGCAGAAAGAGCTCAGCGGAGAACTAGTGTCCAATAAGCTTGATATCACACATCTGCAAGTTTATGGAGAAATTCCTATAGGAGGGAATCATTCATCATCTTTCAGTGAACAATCTTATAAAATCGACACAACATGGATGTGTTAATAATAATAATAATAATAATAATAATAATCATTTTCAATGACAAGGTACAGTGGGATTGTGAGATTACATAAGATTTGTATTTATACATTCTTGCAAAGCTACTAACACAACATAACACATTTACAAACATACACTAGTTAGTAAATTGAATAAAATGAAGAGGTCCATTATATTTACATATAACTACAATATAACTTGTCAGACTTACAAACCTGCTTACATTTTTGGAAATGTTAACCAACTACTCAGACAAATTACTTCCGGTTGATGTAATATACATGGATTTTACTGTATATATACACTGGCTGCCTGTCCCCTACACAGTAATATACCTTGCTAAAGCGAGCACAGTACAGTTTCGTCATAAGAGATTCCTAGACTGGATTTCACTACCAAATTTCAATATATCTAGGTATTTTTATGTATGAAATGCTGTTATTAAAGGCATAATTTATTGTTTTAATAATATTACGGACTGGTGTTTAATTTGTATACCTAAGCTTGTTAATTAAACAAAAAACTACTAATACCAGCCTGATATAAAACCTTATCATAAGCTACGGGTTTTGTGCTTAAAAGGGAATTCGGAAGTAATAATAATACAGCTGATGCCATCTGTTGGCACAAAAGGACACTATCAACTGGCTGGTTAAACAGTAGCCATAAGATACAGCTTATGCCATCTTTTGGCATCAAATTGCACTATTAACAAACTACCCTACAAAATACACCTAGCGCCATCTCTTATTTTTCCAACGCACTAAAAATAGCCGAACAGCAGCCCATAAGGCAGGGTGCTGTGCTGAAGGAAGATTTCTCGGGCGCTTCAATATCATTGGTACGTATTATTTGTTGACATTCGCAACAGCCAATCACAGGAAAGGAAATCAGCTAAAGATTCCGTCCGTTTAATAAATAATCTTTGTTCAGAACACCAGCCCTGCTTATGACATTCTGTTTCAACTTTAATCTACCTAGAAAGTGAAGTATAGTTTATTTAAAAGTATAATTAAAGTGAAAAATAAATTTTGTAGGCTGTAACAGGGATTATAGAAAAATGGTCGTGGGTACCTAACTTGCGACGTCATCAGTGGAGGTTGCTTAACACAAATAAAATCGATAACAGGATGCTCCGCCCTCGGAGCATCGTATTATTGAACGATGTTGTACTTATTGGACTACATTATTCAGTTAGATGGAAATTTTATGTCAAGAACAAAACCAAGAGGTTGTTGTTCAAAAGGACGTATTTCTTAGTTTGCATTTCATTCATAGAAAGAGTGCTGGCATTCCTTGCAACAGCCAATCACAGGAAGGTGTTGGCTGAAACTCCGCCTCCGTACTGCACTCCGAGCCAGCTTATGGCTTGCTGTTTCATCATGACTATGGCCAAATTCTGCCATTTAAAATGATAGTAGATATTGTAATAGATTTTTATGGGAGGGGGGTGTTATACCATTATAAACTACATATCTTCTGATATGTTATACTAAATTATACTAAGGTGTTATAATAAATATCTTCTGATATGGGTGTTGACTTCTTTATTCGTGTACCTGTTGCTTTTAATACTTAACCTGAATTTACCTGAATGTACCTTTGCCTCGAAGAGGACAAGAAGCCAGCGGCTTGTCAAAGGTTCTCCATTTGCCCTGATGATCTTTTCCAGCTGTATTTCCAAAACCCAGCAGAGTTTTGGCATTTGCGCCATCGGCGGGTAAGCGGTTCTACAGGTTTATAACAGTATGGGTGAAAAAGCATCTCCTGTTTTCTGTCTTGAAGATTTCTCTCCAGTTCCTTGTAGACATCTAGGAAAGGAAGTACACCATCGATGCCTAGTTTATGGGTAAAGTTAAACGCTGAATTTCGGATAAGTAAATTCTTTAATCGCAACAGTTCTTGGAGGTCTTTCACACATACGAATATATCGTGGATGTATCTGCAGTAGATGCGAGGTTCCCTGTGGATTTGAAGATGGTGTCTTCTAGTGTTCACATATAGAAGTTAGCAAAGAGGACTCCTAGTAGGGACCTCATGGCTACTCCGTCTATTTGAGTATATATGTCTTCCCAAGGGGAGACTACAGGAGTAACACCCTAGATAATAAAAACAAAGAAGCTGCCCAGCAACGTAAGTCCATGGAGATCATCACAATCCGGAGAGGAGATAACACCGCAGCCTTCCTCCCCATTCCCGACTGATGAATATGTCACCAAACTAAAGAAATCTTCAAATATGAGACCATATTCAAGAGGATTACTAGAATCCCAATTGAAGATATCAAAAAGACAATCAACCGTATAACTGATACAGTTAATGCTAAAAAAAGGCAGCATCCACCTGTTTCACATATTTCTGAGTGGACTCAGAAATGTATTCCTCTAAATAAATAAACATTATTTTCATTATGATTGACAAAATCTAGGCGAGATCACTTGTGAACGCTAGCTAGCGCACAAATACAACAGCGTCCAAAATTAACACATAAGATATGTGGAGGCAGGCGTGTTGATGCTGACTTTGTTTTATTAACTAATATTACATGTTAGCCGTTTACCCTTAATACATATTATTATATATAAGTATAACTATCACCAAGTAAATGTAATAGGAGTCCACCCAAAAAGTGACCACAGTCTAATGTTTTGTGAGTTCGATTACGTTTGTGGACCTTGAGATTAATAATGTTAACGCTGGCGGGTGTTCTTATGAAGCCCGGATTATGTCCTTATTACTCAACTTCATTTAATAACTATATGCCTGTTTAAAGTAGAAGATTTTGACTGTTGATAGCAATATATTGTGGATTTAATATTGAGCAATGATATATATACGTAACGTACTAGTTTTGTGTCCGAAATGGTAGAAATATTTGTGTGCGAAGTGACTAGTATCCTTAATAAACTACAATGTATAATCCCCAGACGCCACAAATGTATGATATATGTATTTACACACGTAAACAATTATTTGAGAAAATAAGCTTTCATATTTCAGTGACCAAAATGGTATTTTTAGTACAGAATAAAATAAAGAAATAGTAGAGAACACATTAAAGTTTTAGATAATTTTATTATTATTAACAAGCTTAGGTACATAGAGCAATGTGCTGCTATCCTATTCTATATGAAAGATTACAAAGTGTAGATAAAAAGACTAGCTACAAGTTTATCATGCTAGATATAAGACATTACATACCACTAATATTCAATATAAATCTGCAATTATTAAAAAAATCATAAATTACAGTACAACGATAAAGGACATAAAAAAGTGTGTATGATTTATTTTTTATTATTGTTTGTATTAAGCTTAGGTATACACAATACCTGTAGCTCTCACCCGTCATCCCGCATTATAATTCATTGTATAATTCACTTCCTCTCACATGCTAATCAATGTGACCCACTGCACTAACACCACCCATTACCTCACTGGTAGTGAGGAGGTGAGGGAACGTGAGGAGAGGTGCTGGGATGTGAGGGGAGGTGAGGGAGGTTAGAGGAGGTTCTGGGAGGTAAGGTGAGGGGGAGGGAGGTGAGGTAAAGTGAGGGAAGGTAGTAGGGGGGAAGCCTGGCCCACCTCACCTCCCCTGTGGCGCCAAGCTATGAACTTCCTCCCCACCGGACCCTTGCATTTCCCCCCGGGAAGTCTCGCCGGAGTGACGCCCAGCCTCCTGGCTTCTCCAGACGGCGTGTCGCTCATTCTCAACCTTTGTGTCCTAATAATATGACTTCCCAAGTGAGTATTCACCGCGGGAACACCGGTACAGCCTGGTCAGTGTTCCGGTGATGGACTTGTGTGTAATTCGGGAACAATTGGGTACAGCAGCCGGTACATAACTGGCCAAGCTTCAGGTGACACGACGTTGCTGGAACACGAGATTTTCCCGACCCATGGAAGCCAGTCACTTGGTCAGGGACGACCAGGGGCGTCCTTCCTTCCCTGAAGGGTTGGTGTTTGATCCCCTGAGGGACACACTGGTCTTGTATGTCCTCTAGGGGCGTCCTTCCTCCCCTGAAGGGTTGGTGTTTGATCCCTGAGGGACACATCGGTCTTGTATGTCCTCTAGGGGCGTCCTTCCTCCCCTGAAGGGTTGGTGTTTGATCCCTGAGGGACACATCGGTCTTGTATGTCCTCTAGGGGCGTCCTTCCTCCCTGAAGGGTTCGTGTTTGACCCTTGAGGGACGCACTGGTCTTGTATGTCCTCTAGGGGCGCCCTTCCTTCCGTGAAGGGTTGGTGTTTGATCCCCTGAGGGACACACTGGTCTTGTATGTCTTCTAGGGGTGTCCTTCCTTCCCTGCAGGGTTGGTGTTTGATCCCCTGAGGGACACTCTGTTCTTGTATGTCCCCTAGGGGCGTCCTTCCTCCCCTGAAGGGTTGGTGTTTGACCCCTGAGGGACACTCTGGTCTTGTATGTCCTCTAGGGGAGTCCTTCCTCCCCTGAAGGGTTGGTGTTTGATCCCTGAGGGACACTCTGGTCTTGTATGTCCTCTAGGGGAGTCCTTCCTTCCCTGAAGGGTTGGTGTTTGATCCCTGAGGGACACTCTGGTCTTGTATGTCCTCTAGGGGAGTCCTTCTTCCCCTGAAGGGTTGGTGTTTGATCCCTGAGGGACACTCTGGTCTTGTATGTCCTCTAGGGGAGTCCTTCCTCCCCTGAAGGGTTGGTGTTTGATCCCTGAGGGACACTCTGGTCTTGTATGTCCTCTAGGGGAGTCCTTCCTCACCTGAAGGGTTGGTGTTTGACCCCTGAGGGACACTCTGGTCTTGTATGTCCTCTAGGGGAGTCCTTCCTCCCCTGAAGGGTTGGTGTTTGATCCCTGAGGGACACTCTGGTCTTGTATGTCCTCTAGGGGAGTCCTTCCTTCCCTGAAGGGTTGGTGTTTGATCCCTGAGGGACACTGGCCCTTTATACCCTGTAGGGGTGATAGTTATGCTGGCTAGGGGCACTTGCCTGATAATTTCCTTGCCTATATGCCTCGTGGTAGTGTAACCATGTACTGTACTGCTGTATAGGCCTATATTTCTTACAATAATATAAAATGCAGGTAATCGATATACACACTTATACAGTACAGGTAAATTGATACACTTAAAAAAAAAGTATAATATTATATTTACTGTTTTTTATACACTTTTTTTAATTTAAATAGCACAGTACATTTTCTTCATTTCTCTATGGTCTATATCAACACACTCGTAGTGCTAGGTAAAGGTTCTGTAAGTTTACGTGAACTCTTTATTACATTCAATAGATATTCCTCGCAGTAATATGTAGTCCATACTACCAACGCAGTACAATTCTGTATCGGTAAAAAAAAAACTTGATATGTCTACTTTGCCATATATTGAACAAACAATTCCTGTGCTAGGTTCATGCACTAATAATTCATAACAATAATTCATAACAAGGGGTCAGGTTCATAACAAACTTTAGACCCAGATAGCACTCAGCCCCCCCTACTTAAATCTTTGAATGTTAGAATATTAAGTACTCACCTATTTGTACTCGCCTATTTGTGCTTGCGGGGGTTGAGCTATGTCTCTTTGGTCCCACCTCTCAACTGTCAATCAACTGGTGTACAGGTTTCTGAGCCTACTGGGCTCTGTCATATCTACATTTGAAACTGTGTATGGAGTCAGCCTCCACCACATCACTTCTTAGTGCATTCCATTTACTAACTACTCTGACACTGAAAAAATTCTTTCTAATGAATTTCAGTCTCTATATTTTTATTTTTAGTATAATTTCAGTCTCTGCACATCCTCGCAAGTGTACTCTATATATATACAGTACTGTACTGTATATATAACTCTGAACTGTAATGCCAATCCTGGCCTTAAATGCTTCCTAGAATGTTGTAATGGCACCCATGGGCACCACACCAGAAACAAGTACCAATTTGATATTCCAAGAGTGCAACTTAACCAAACTAGAAATGCTCTGCAAATCAAGAGACTCAGAATGTGGAATGACCTTCCCAATCATGTCAAAGGCTGTACCTCTCCCAACCAGTTTAATAGCTCGGGATTCGAACCCGGAATTCTCGATTGTGCATTAAGAATGAACCTGCCTGTAAGGACCCTCCATAAAGTGTAGACGATATGTATATGGTGTTGTGTTGATTTATGGCTTCAACAATGGTTCTGAGGGAAACACATATCATATTCAAGAAATCAAAGCATGATGGGTTAGGTGAGGCGCTTACAGTGGGTTTATGCTGGAGTATTGTGTTATTGTGTAGACAGTGTTAAATAGCCAAGTACTGATAATTGTTTTATTTCTCCATATTTAAAGGTCGTTCATTCATATGGGTTCTAATGCAGTGCTGTCATTTTATTTTCAGGGGACCCTTTTTTGTGAAGCCACTTCAGTCTAATCAAATGAAACCAAAATAAGTTTGTTTTCAAGGACAAACAATGGCGTCAGAGAATGAATGTTACCGAAGAGGCTCAAATTTCCATTATGCTGAAGAAGGATATGCTATACCAGCAATAAAGAGCCAAGTACTCATATAGTATTGTACCTAGATTTATTCAAAGACTAGTAAAAGAATTAGGGATCTAAGAATAATATACATTTTATTAATACAATATCCAGTACTGTATACAGAATAGTGCTTGCAAGGTTTATTGTATCTGCTTTTTGAAATTCCAGATTATTACTGGCATTTTAAGTATTTGCCTGAAATCCCAAATATCAGATACAGTACATATAAGTAATTTTAGAGTTGCATTTTGAAATCTGTCAAATCAAATTAACTAGTGATTAACATTTAAGTTTGCATGAGTTGGGAGTCTGTATATCTTGAGTAAGTTGTGAACCGGGATTCTGACCTCTTACAAAGTGGTCAATCACCATATCATAATTTTTGACTGTGAGGTATCCGAATTGCTTTTGTTAGATTTTGAGCTTTTATTTCAGGATACAACACTGAGGCGGGCATCAGGAACTAGAGTTTGAATGTTCTTAGGCACTCGATACATTTAACATAAGACATGCCACATTTTTTCTCACAAAGTACCCAGTCATTTTGTTCATATTATATTGGTGATGTGTGACCTATATCTTGTTAAGAGGGGCATTAGACAATGCATTTGACTCAATATTCCTGACTATTTGGCCCAATATTCCAATGTCACAGCTTGAGTTTCTATACCCACTACTGCCTCAAGCATAATATGTTACCTGCTTTGATTTTTCACTGGTATGCATCATATCAATAGTTCAGAAGAGCACAGACCCAAGACATCTGTCGTGTACTCAGCCTTTTGTCATTTATTAATTCAAGCTGTGTCCTACCTGTGTCCTAATGTAGGCCCAAGATAAGTCACTGAAATAGATCTGGCTACTGGCCTCTATTTCTTAGGGCGTCCTCTGTGCTGACACCTTGGCTTCTTAAGTGATTTCATGTACTGTACTGTATTAAATTTACACCGGTCCATTTCAGGATCTCGGTCAAAATCTTAGATCAATAATTAATTCCTGATGCTACCCCTTCTCTTTCTTGTCTTGGTTAAACATGATTTACTTAGGATTATCCTGCAATTTTCTGCTGGAGGAGTTCAGAGCTGAGTGACCTTTTACTGGTTACAATTGATTGTTTTCCTACTGTTAACAATAGTGACTTGTACAGTACAGGGATTGGCAAGTTGCTACAGCAAAGGTTAGTGTTTTCTCTCCCTTTCCATTTTTTAGTATATTGCTGATCACCTTTGCATAATCTTGCTTTAGAGAGTAATCAAGTGGAATAACACAGAAATCAGACGTTGAATGAATATGAAAAGCTCCTTTCCAAGATGACACTCGGATACCTTTACTTTTCCTTCGAAAGGCCTTGTCTAGTTTCTGCAGGGTTTTTCAAGCAGAATCTGATACTTGTGATACTGCTTGCGGCTTGGGACCTAATGTTTACTTGGATGATGTGGTGGTCCTAGGATAGTGGTGATCCTAAGACAGTCTAATGTACATCCAACATCCTGTGATGTACATCTTGTACATCACAGGATGTACCCAACATCCTGTGATGCTGGGTACAGGTTGAGTATTTATGGATGGATTTTCTATCGTCACTCCACAACCTGTCCTCCTAATAGAGTGTCGCATTTTGGTGCACACTTTACCCAAGGTCAAAAATCGTCGTACTAGAAAAGGGTAGCGGCTTGCGAAATTGACATACTATCCCGTTTTGTATTTTTGGTCCTCTGGTAGGTTAGGATAAGGGCACTTTAGTAGTATGACAGTTTCATGTTGTTGGGGAACCTTAAGAGGATGGGCGGCACTCCAAGCTGGCTTGAGCTCTTCTGTAGTGCCTCCATAGCACCAACATGACACGCACAAATGTTTTGAAAGGGCTCCTGAAGAGTGTCACTCAGTCATGACTTAATGTAAATGTGTTCAGTGGAACAATTATTTGATCTTGCCCTGCAGAATCTAGGTGTCATTCCCAGAAATGAAATTTGTATATTCTCTCAAGAGCCTGATTATTGATTTGCTTTTCAGCATAGTGGTAGCAGTCTGGAGGATTGTGATGTAGTTCCAGAAGATCACATTCTTCTCCAGATGGACCAAGAACTGGACCAGAGGCTCAGTCGTCTTTGTAGACGTCGACCAGATCAAACGCCATCACTTTTGTCGAGAGTTTGTTTCCACACACACATTGTTTTTGGTGAAGCTATCACTTGCATTATCTGTCATATGTTTTGTGTTAAAGATTATGTTACACTGATCATATATAATTCATTTAAATAATTTGACAGTTTATTCATAATTTTACCAGTTAATAGAATCAAATCAAGTAAGAATTAAATTTTAGTGAAGAACAAATTTTGCAGATGATCAGCAGTGATGGAAACATAATGGCAAATAAACAGATGGATGCCGGTAACTTTGCTAGTGGTTCCACAGCCCAGGCTAGCATCCCTGACAATGAAGGTGATAATTGGCCCTCTGGATGCAGCATCAGGACCAAGGAAAAAAATGACATTTTGAATAGTCCCTTGAGTGTATCTGTAGAGAAGCCAAGAGGAACAGCAAGTATGCCAGACAAAAGGAATGTTGCAGAACCAGAACTTGTAGAGAATGACACCGATGAAGAAGTGCTTGATGCCAAAGAGGAGGCCATATTTGACGAATTTCTGGATCAGTCCACACGAATTCGAATGGGCATTCTGACCAAGAAGGTGATGGGTTTGAACCAAGCTCTCAAACTTTCAAGAGATGAGTGTAAAAGACTGGTAAGCCTCAAAATGTTTGGATGTGTTAGTATCATATTGCAAAATATATTGTATAATGTACAATATACAGTTCCTGACAATGGTATGTACCACCCTGCTTGAGGTGGCACGTACTTATGGCATACAAAGAATGATGGTCTTGTGGGTGAAGGATTGTAGACTGAAGTATATGGTGGGTACATGATGTCACAGTGTGTTCTAGCTTCCAGGAACCACACAACTGGGAAGCTTGGTTGGTGTCGGGCATTCACAGTGAGCGGTTGTCTTGCATGTCTCGCTCTGGCACCTTGCAGTGTATTTTCTCGGTTATCAGGGGTGTTAGTGGTATTACATTGTTGTTATGACACAAAAACGAACTAAGAAACCATTGTTCAGATAGATAATTGCTTTAAAGAAGTAGCCCACCAAATGAAGGGAAAAATTAGTTGTTTCTGCAATGCCTCTGGTGCTGGCTGTTTAGGATTCACTGGCGCCTGGTTGAGGTGGGCATATTGTGGTGCCTGGGTATTGGGCAGTGGCATTACCCATGTTGGTAGCTTCCTGTTCATTTACCTTCCTCTTCTTGGAAGACTGTTTGTCTGGGTTTCTCCATTTTGGGGTGGCCTTGGGAGCTGCCCTTGCTGCTATGGAAGTAGGCAGCTGTCTGTGCATTTTTCTGGGCTTGGTTCTAGCACATGCAGCACCTGGCCTTCTGGTAGTCTATTGTTGTTACAACAGCATCGTGGGTTTGTCTTTGACATGCTTTCCCATGCTCTCCACAGAGTGTCCTGTGTGTCCTGGACCCCTGTGTTGCTCCTCATTCTTCCTGGCAGTGTGCTGAGGGGTTGGCTGTCTGTCTTCTTCCTGGCCTGTTTCCCATTCCTGGGGGACCACTAGAAAATGCATTATGTTACATTCAACATGCAATATTTACCCTATGTAATCCATTTCCACTTGCTCATAGAATATGCATGGGGGTTAACACAACTGTTAAACCAGCAGTCAATCATCACAGCTTGGATGTAGGGCCTTAGTATTTACAGGTGCCGAGATGGTTGGTATTCAGAATTGTTGAGGTAGAACTTGGTTTATTATATAAAAAATACTAGCACTGTATTTAATGTTTATCATAATTAATAATACATCTTTCAGATTATGCAAGCAAATGAAAATGTTACATGTACTGTACCATAAATTGATGTACATGCTGGTCACCACAGGGAAATGGAAACAGGCTTCCCAAACAATTTTGTACCAGACTGTTGTTGTTAAATTGACTACATTTGCACACATGTTACTGTATTGCACGCTATTTTGGATGCATTAGTCTCTCAAACATCTTGCCACAGATGTCCGCCAAACGAGAAGCAAGCATGGCATTCCACACGGCTGAGACGGAGAGACGAAATATGAATAAACAGATACAGACGTTGCAGCAGGAAAACTCCAGACTACAAACCTCAAACAAGTGCCTTCAACATCGCATTAAGGAGCTAACTGGGGAATGCCAGGGGCTACGTAAGGTTTGATATTGCCTTTTTATTTTGTAGCATCAAAATTGTTTTATACACATAGTGCTGAATTTTATTTTAATTTTCCTTTTTATGCTCATTTCTTTTTTTATTTTTTCAACATTAGAAATGGATGTGGTGGTTGTTTGTTGGCATACACTTTCTTGTCAATATAAGTGTATCCGGTCTGGCATCGAAATTAAGGTTTTGAATGATTACCGTGTTCATCTAAAGTAAAATTACCAACATATTTATGGTTATAAAAGTAAATATCTATAAATAATGTTTGTTTTGCCACAAAATTATTTAAATAAAATCTAGTTCAAGAACACTTCTGAGTATTATACTTGGTCATTCTCTAAGGCAAGATCCTACTTGTCTTTCAATAGGATCTATAGCAGTAAGACCAGGTGGACCTATCTCAACAGAATGAAGGTGGATGTATTCAAGAGGCACTTGGACAGGTTCTTGCAAAAAGTGCCAGACCAACCAGGCTGTAGTGGATATGTGGTCCTGCGAGCCGCTCCAAGCAACGGCCTATTGGACCAAGTTATCGCAAGTCGAGCCTGACCTCAGGCTGGGCTCAGGGACTTGAACTCCTGAAACTCTCTCCAGGTGTGCTCCAAGTTACCCAACAAGGAACTTTTCAAACTGGCCTTGTTGAATCACACTGGTGCTTGGGGGACACGAGAATATTCAATACGGGCCAAAATATAAACATCAAACTACTTGACATAAACCCAAAACCCGTCCCCCTGGCAAAAGTTGTTAGCATATGGATTGTCAAGCTATGCCTTGGCAAATAAATTAGCTACTAGTGAGCCACTTCCATGACCCACCACCAGATGGCATCACCACACAAGCATTAACTCAGTCTCAGAAATTCACTCAGTCATGCATTTCCTCCCGCAGCTGAAGCAAAGAGAATTTCATAAACTCAAAGCTAGATTACTGATCTATTCCACTCAGTCTACATTCTGTGTGAACAGAGTTTTCTGAACTGTGAACACCATGGTAATTGAATAAGAGCAGTTTGAAAAGCTCTCGACATAAGTAGCGTGTAATGTCAACCTGTCCAGACTGCTGCCAAAACTATCCAGAGGCAAGTAGGGTCTTGCATTATGGAGTGACCTATTGGAATAGCTCATAAAATAGCTTATTACTTGATCCTTTTATCTAGAAATAGTGTATCTTGTTTTCAGGAATTATGCAGCACACGACAGAGTGAGAGTGATCACCGTAGTGGCCAGTCATCCATCCAGGCTCAGTTGACACGCTCAAGGGCTGATAATGCTGCCATTAGAGACCAGATGGCTCAAATCAAAACAAAACACAAGGTACCTTCATAGCATAAGAAATGACTACTTTTCATGTACAGTAACAGTTTAAACTGATCAGTAACAATTCACATATGGTCATGTTGCTATATCATGTCATTTGATATAGCTCTATTTTGAAGTGCAATATAGTCATAAATGCTTTAGGCTTTCTTCTAATGATTAGTGACCTAACTTTCCACTGTAGGTTGAAGGGATCAATGATGCAGACCATTTATGTCTATTTCTGTTTTTCATGTGCTCAGTACCTTTTGGTTCCAGCACTTGGCCTTAGACCACAAGCTTATTGTGTTACTACTATGGTGCCTTTTTCAGGAGGAGGTTGATGAGCTACGTGCCTTTGTCACTGAGAGTAATAGCAGGATTAAGGACCTGGAGAGACAGCAAAGAAACTTGTATGCTCTCGTTAAGAAACAAGAGTGTCTCATTACAGTCCTGAATAAGCAAAAGGTGAAGGAGTACTTTATTGATGTGTGGGAATAATTATTTAATCATATATGATACATGCATGATATAGTGTTATAGGTTAATGCATTTTTATTGGCAGAAACAAAAATTTGAGTTAACAATACAAATATTTTTTGTATTTGTTTTTAGATAGCCACACTTTTCAGGATCTTGTAAATAATGGGGGAGAAAAATAATATGTTTCAGTGCCCTTGAATTTTTGTTATGCTCATTTGGAATCGTGCATTATCACACCACAGTACAGTTTATCTAATTATATTTGTTCTTCACCAGAACAACATCGCAGCAGCCAAGGTAGCGGCATGCCTAGAGGACAAGTTCTTGGCCATTATCTCTCCACTACAACCTCCATGATTGGTTTTGGTTTTTAAGGAGCTGCGGGCTTCCAGAATGTGAACTATTGTAATCTGTTGTGGGACGACAATAAACAGTGTACTTCCTTGATGAATAAGGTAGAGTGGTGAAGACATTTTGTAGTAGATGTCAGTTTATAATGAAAAAACGAGTTTAGGGAAAATTGTTATCAGAATGTCCCTTCAGTTAGATTAATCAATCATTCTGTTTCATCTGAAGCAGGATGCACTTACAATAATTCTTTTAATAGGAAATTATGATTACTGGGCAGAAATGCTTACAAATAATCATGCAGTGTATATACTATAAAGATACATGCATAATGGATAAGTTTTAGTCTTGCCAGCTTGAGAAGATACTGTATGTCAGTTATTAGTTTGTGCATCGACACCTTGAAAAGTGTAGGGCTGTGCGCTCCTCCTGATGTGTGCCCAATTCAAAGGAAGCATTGGATATACTTTTCCTCCCTAGCAAATGACTTGTGGTTCACTAGATTTACTTGGACACCCAAAAAATGACTAGTTTTCTAAGACAAGTTCCCTGCTGGTTGTGTCAAAAGCAGTTTGAAGATCAATAAAAGTCCATTGCTCCTACCTAGCTTTCCTCTTTTACCTTTCGATGAATTCATGGATCAACGTCCCCTGGTTGGTGGTCTGGTCAACCAGGCTGTTCGACATGGGCGCTCGCAGCCTGACATATGAATTACAGCCTGGTTGACCAGGTATTCCTTGATGGTGATTATCAAGTTCTATCTTGAACATTGAGAGGTCAAGTAGTTATGCCTCTTATGTGTAGAGAGAGAGAGAGAGAGTGTTCAACAGTCTCAGGCCTCTGATGTTGTTAGAGTTCTCTCTCAGCGTACCTATAGCATCTCTTGCTTTTCAACGGGCTTCTTTTGCACATCCTGCCATGCCTTCTGCTCTCATGTGGTGTTATTTCTTTGTGCTTTTTTTGTTGCGGGGGCACATTAGTGACAAATCACCATGTGATTGAAGGTTAAGAGGCAGAACCTGTCAAAACTCTACCCCCATAGGTACAATTAGGTGAGCACACATTCTTGCCTTCACTCTCACACTTACTCAGAGTGTAAAGGGAAGGGTGAAGGATTTAGATTGAGAGATGTAAATGGAAAGGTCCAAGAATTTAGTACCAAAGAAATGGAGGGCGTGAAGAATGAAGAGATCAATAATTTAATTCAATATTAACTACTATTAAATTCATTAGGTAACCACTTACCTGTGTTGACTCCGTGTGTTGTCAAGTGTGGGCGGGGCCTCTGCACACAACCATAAGTGGAGGGGATCAGCCATCACTGTCATTGTAGTCAGGGTATGGAGGCTTTAGACACTAGTGACTGGTGCTTAATATAAATTTAATTTCAATTTACTGTACTGTATTTTCATTTTTAATTGTCAAGTGTGTTTTAGTTCTATATTAAAGACTGTGTGCATGCACGTGTGTGGTGCTGTTGTGTTCAACGCCTATGTTTATGGTAGAATGTAATTTGACACTGTACTGTGTGTGTGTTGACTGCTTAACCCTCCGCCACTCGGAGTAGCCTGTATCTTGTAGAGGTGTGAAGATGGTGCTGTGAGGGGCCCACCACAGTTACGAGGTGTTTAATCAAGTTTTTCTCTCATTGTCACAGAACTGTTTAATTCTAGGTGAGTGATAGATGTATCCAAGTACATTTGTTAGTCTTTTTCATGTGTTAAAATATGTGTAATGCTCACATAAGATGGTTTGTGTCAGTTCCTCAGTTTAAAATGTAGCTTAATGTTTAATATTTTAATTTTAATTATGTATGTGTGGCAGTAATTTTCAGGTGTACAGTCCTGAATTTTAGTAATTTTATTTTTTTAAATTTGTTTCTTGTTTGTTGGGTTCTATTTCTGTATTATGTCATTATCTCTTCATTATTTTCCTCTGCCCCCCCCCCCCCTCCCCTCCCCTCATAACAGAGAACCGTTGTCAATGTACTTGTAATGTGAAGGTTCTAGACCAAGAGTTGACAATCTACTACTGACAGTATTGGCATTCAAGGCCTTCGACTAAACGTGTTCCAACTGTCTACCACTTTGTAGTCAAAGAAGAACTTTTTAATATTTTTTCAGTACAGTTCAGTATTTTTGTTTCCTTAGGTGGAATCTTACGACCTCTAGTTCCTGAAGTTGCAAATTTCCAGACTTCCTCTTTGTTAATTTTGTCGATTCCTTTTATTATTTTGTTAGTTGTGATCATATTGCCTCTTTTTATGCCATCTTCTAGCTTTGGCATATTTAACACCTCTTACCTCTCCTCGTAGCTCTGGTTTTTTAGTTCTGGAAGTAATTTCGTAGCATGTCTTTGCACCTTTTCCAGCTTATTGATGTGCTTCTTGAGATATAGGCACCATACAACTGCTACATATGCCAGTTTTGGTCTTTCAAAAGTCTTAAACACCTTATTTAATATTTCACCATGTATTTAAAAATGATTCTGAAGCTGGAAAGTGCAGCATACCCCCCCCCCCCCAAACACACGATGAAACTACGATGTTGCTACAACATTCTAATGTCATAAAACGTTATAACAAGATGATACAGCTTTATCACAAGTTGTATCAAGGGACTCATAGGGACTGTTACGTTGTGTGTGTGTGTTTGCAGAGTATGCTCCTCGCTGTGTCCTTTATGTGGTCCTCGGGTGAGTCTAATATCCACAACCACCTCTAGACCTCTTTCTCTGTCAGAGTTCTTTAAATGTGAGGTGTGTGAGGGAGGAGTGAGGTGTGTGAGGGAGGAGTGAGGTGTGTGAGGTAGGAGTGAGGTGTGTGAGGGAGGAGTGAGGTGTGTGAGGGAGGAGTGAGGTGTGTGAGGGAGGAGTGAGGTGTGTGAGGGAGGAGTGGGTTAGGTGAGGTGTATGAGGGATGAAATACACAAAAACTAGTAAAGGACTATAATTACTAATGGTCATTTGGGAAATGTATTTTTTCTGGGCTCGTCCAGCCTTTCACCACATGATGGAAAAACTTTTGTGTGTTAAACGGCATCAAATGTTGCACTTAACTTTTGTGTTGGTTAATACGTATAAACATTTCTTAAATAAAATCAACATAATTCATAGTTTTATGGTTTATTATTATTACCTTTATATACATTAATATAAAAAGAGTTCAGTAGATGATTGTGACTGACCATTGCCCCAGACATTGCTGCTGGGCCGTTGGGGAAAAAAAAGTTGCCGACCACTTCTCCAGACAGACCACTACTGTCTCTGTTCTTGTGGTGTGGTAGTGTGGAGTAAAAATTGAAGTGGACGGTAGAGTGCCGCAAGAATACCTTGACAAAATTCAAGAGTGGACAGATAAATGGCTGCTGAAATTCTGTCAGAATTTCTCTCTGTCTGAAAGTAAATATAAAATAATGAAAATGGGTAAGGGTGATAGGAGACCTGTATTATACCACACCATAAGGCAGTGATTCCCAACCCAATGGCCCTGTTTTCTAATGCTTAACAGACCTATGACCCCCTGCCTCACATTGAACACAAGATGGTCAATGGTGCTCATCTCAGCAGTGTTTTCTGGATAGATAAAACTTGACTGGGTCAGTAGTCAGTTACGACCTGCTGATTGGGAACTCATGCCGCAAGGGGAAGGCAATTACAAAAAATATAGAAATACACATGTAAATACACGTAACCCCAACACTAATACCACACGTTCTTGTGAATGCATCAGCAACATAGGGAAAGTTAACATATATAAGACAATCCTTTAAGATTCAAAACAAGGAGGCTTTCAAGTCCATATACAATCCCAGTGTGAAACCATGACCACACTTGAGTATACATGATGACACCACACAGGTCTCATCAAGCGAAGGGGTCTGTAAGACTCTCGATATATTCCAATAAATACCCGGCAGATTTTTTGACCGTGCAAGGGTGTTTGGAAAGATCCATATAGTGTTACTATCATACAGTATTTCAACCTGTGTTATATGGGAAGATTAACCTAACAGATCATACCCCAAAAATTTAAATATGCTCAGAAGAGCTGCTTACATAAATTCAAAGCCTAATTATGAATTTACACAGATAACCATTTTATTTTGTGAAATCAGTTTAGCATACTGGTCTCTTTTTCTGTGATATTCTGTGTTAGATGTGAATAGGTAGGTTGACGACACTGAGTAATTCCTGCCACTAATCTGTTTCAGTCTACCATGACAAGCAAAATACAAAACATCTGGGAGTCTCTGTGGATGAGGGATGGCATAAAGCCTTGGTGGTACCCAAAGAAGATGGGCCCCGTGGTCTGTTTGGGAATGGTTTTGGGACTTCTCCCTCGAAATCGGGATGGTTACTGGTCGTTTTGTGTGGCCTATATTACAGGATCCATATGCCTTCTGATCTTAACAGTTTTTTGGGTTATATTCTTTGGTAAGTACTCACCTAATTGTATTCACCTAATTAAGCTTTGGTTTTTTGGTTCTGCCTCTCAACTATCAATCAACTGGTGTACAGATTCCCGAGTCTATTGGGCTCTATCATACCTACATTTGAAATTGTGCATAGGGTCTGTCTTCACCATATCGCTTCCTAATGCATTCCATTTGTTAACTACTCTGATACTAAAAAAGTAATTTCTAATGTCACTGTGGCTCATTTGGGTACTTAGCTTCCACCTATGTCCCCTTGTGCATGTGCCCCCTGTGTTAAATAAACTGTATCTTTAAGTGGACAATTTGATATGGACATTTGCATACCTGGGTGTCCTAGAGGCTTGTACAGACAGCGAAGCTAGATGTCCTGAAGCCAGGTGTCCTAGAGGCTTGTACTGACAGGGAAGCCAGGTGTCTTAGAGGCTTGTACAGTACTGACAGGGAAGCCAGGTGTCCCAGAGCTTGTGCTGATTGGTTACCAAAGACGTATTGATTTTGGCCATTCTTTATTGAAATTATACAAGATAAAAGACTCAGTGATGAATGATAATCAAAACGAAGCCATTTAAGAATCCCTTAGAGAGCATCAAAATCTTCCAAAGTAAGTCCGGGATTGAAATGACTGACGATGACTAGTAATGGGTAGGCCAAAGGTCGAGATGAGGTCAGATAATATTAATTAATCTATAGGTCACAATTACAGTACATAACAAATTGTAATTGGGTTTTAATTTTTTCCATTCCTTCAGTTTTCATGGAAGTGTGCATTAATGGTGAGCAGAGTGACGTCAAGAGCCTGTGTGAAAATTCTGCTTGCATTGCCCTTGGGGTAACGGCATTTCACAACATGATCTGGTTCTGGTCCCACTCTCGGGTTAGTAACTCATCCAACTGCACCATTTGTCAACCCCCCCCCCTTATCGACCTCTTCAGCCACATAGCTCGAGCCTCACTTCGGTCGGCACTATACCCACTTCTGTGCTCTTGCATTGCATATCCTTTAACCACTAGTGTCGCTACCTTCCACCACCATCATTATCATTTACATGTCGCTGACTTGCTCAAAATTTACTACCACACTCCTATGCGTTCCACTAGTCTTAATTTCACCTGCATTTTCGTCTGATGTTAATATCTATTTTATATATGGATATAAATTTGACCAAATATAAACCGACTCAAAAAACCAGCGCTGAATGTAATGAAACGGCTCTACCAGTAAGAGGCATTTCATTACTATCAATGCTGGTTTTTAATAGATTATTTAGTTGAGATGGAGTCCACAGGTTTGGTATTCAGTTTCATAATTAGAGTAGGGGATTCTCATTTTAAAATATTTTGATTAAAATTGAAATAGATTTTAATTTGTAGGAAATATGGGCGCCTAACAGCTGGGTGGACAGCACTTCACATTCGTAGTCCTGTGGTTCCGGGTTCCCCGGTGGAGGCGGAAACAAATGGGCAAAAATGTTTCTTTCACCCTGATGCCCCTGTTACCAAGCAGTAAATAGGTACCTGGGAGTTAGACAGCTGCTACAGGTTGCTTCCTGGGGGTGTGTAACAAAAAGGAGGCCTGGTCGAGGACTGGGCCGCGGGGACGCTAAGCCCTGAAATCATCTCAAGATAACCTCAAGAATCTCGAGATAAACTTTGATGTAAAATTGGCATGAAACTGTAATAAATCATTTGTTGAATAAGTTGCTAATAATTCCTGTATATGTCTGTTCTTGCAGACTGTGCGAAGCTTTCTGGTGAAATGCAAGGAACTGGAGGTATGGCAGAAGGTGGGAAGAAATATAGGATACTGCCCCTTACTGCTGCTGCTGCTTACCTCATTTGACTCCTTGCTTCCTGCACTGTGGTTTATAGGTGACCTAACTTTCTGCACCTCACCATTTTGGACTAAGGTAGCTAAGCAAATGTTTGCTAATGTGTTCTTAATCCTTTAAGGTCAGTTACCATCATATATTGATCTCCAAAGCCAATGTGGCTGTCATTCGCTGATATGAGTTATCTCCAGGATTTTATACAAATGATGCAAATATGGTTATAATACCTTTATATGGATGTACAGTAATGGAATTAGCCTAAACCAATGCAAATATTCTGTTATTATGATAACCAAGCCACACTTCAGAAAGTGAATGGCTTGATAATGGTCCAGGACGGACCAAAGCATTGTCGTTTCTTCACTTTCTGATGTGTGGTTTAATCATCATATCTTCAGTCACGTTATTGTGACTCATCGTCAGCATATTCTGTTATTGTTTTATAATTCCTTACTGAGCAATGAGATTGTCGTATTCTAGTGGCCCATAATTATCGTCAAACATAATTTGGCCCCTCCCCCCTTTCAGTGGTGCAGGTTCTGTTGTTACTGGATGCTTGAGTGGCATGAGTTTTGTAAAGTTTTTCAGGTGTTTTTGGGTGGTTCTCCTCGTTACCAGACTATATATGCTGCAAAATCTACACTCTGTTCCACTTATTCTTCCATCTTGCCCTTTGGATTAAGTTATTTACACTATTAGGAGATAGAAGTGAATATTTGATAAGCTACATTGCTCATAAATAGTTACTTTTTAAGTTATATTTTAAATTAGAAAATCAAGGGGGACTGTAATTACTGTAATTTGTTATGGGATTCAGGTTTGTATACTCCCCTGCTACTGGTTCCTGAGAGTGACAGCTGTGTTCCCCATCCTGCTATATATAGCAGTAGCTGGCTTCTTGAAAGACTATGCAGCCTACCTGGGGACCAGGATAGAAATCACAGCAAGGCTTGTGGATACGGTAAAGGAAGGAGCCAGGGCCATGCCGATGGGAACATTTGGACGGGGAGGCACATTGGATAGTCGAAGGATAGAATTAGCTAGGGCAACAAGGAAGAAGTCGGTTGAGGATCAAGATAACCTAGATGATGCATTGGATGAAGTTATCAGAGAGTGGCGCCATCTGTCTGACCTTCACGATCGCTTGGCTAAGGTGATTTAATATTTTTCATTTGTATATCTTTGTATAGACTAAAGTGACAAGAGTTATGTTTGTGTATAAGTGTTATATCATGAATTTTGTCTTTTTAGAATTACAGTATTTCCAATTTCAGGTGTTGAGCATGCCACTACTATGTGCCTCGGCTTATCAAACAGTGATGGTCATTGTGGGAGCATTCTTCTTAACTGATGCAACGACTCTCCTGAAGATTCTGACTTGTGTGTTGATGATGGTGACTGCCATCACCTTGCTCTATGTTCAGGGTTATGCAGCCGATTCCTTCCTCCAACAGGTAACTTCACGCCAGTCAAAGTCTATCTTCAGGGGTCAGTCACAGAGTGCTAGACAGTTGGAACAAGTTAAGTGAGAAGATGGTGGAGGCCAAAACCGTCTGTAGTTTCAAAGCGTTATGTTGTTGTCGCTCCCCCCCCCCTCAATCAACAACGATTGAGGTATCAATATGTGCCCTTCAAAGTGTTATATGACAAAGTGCTGGGAAAATGGGACACCATGAGCATAACTTTCAACTTGTAACTACACTTAAGAAAACACAGGTAAAATTGATGCCATTATTACCCAAGAAAGACCTGTACTAGTCTCCATCTCTTAAATGCAGTATTAAGTCACCTTTTTGTGTCATCTCGTAAAACCAGAATCACAGATCTTCACACAGGTAAACAAAGGCATGGATGAAGAACAAGAAAGGATGTTTTTAAGAATGGTATAATTAATCTGCTGGATTTATGTAAAGTTAGTGCCAAGAGTGAGTAAGGAGTGATAGTGAGTAAGGAGTGAGAATAAGTAAGGAGGAGTAAGAGTGAGCAAGCAGGAGTGAGAGTGATTGAGAAGGAGAGTGACGGAGGAGCTGTGAGGTGATCGAGGAGTAAAAGTGACCGAGGAGGAGTGAAAGTGACCGAGGAGTGAGAGTAAGTACTGTAAGCAGGAGTGAGAGTGAGCCAACAGGAGTGAGAGTGAGCAAGCAGGAGTGAAAGTAAGTGAGCAGGCATGTATGTGAGTGTGTAGGGGTAAGTAGGCCCTTTAATGAATGAAAAGGAGTACAGAGCAATGATTCATTTCTCATAAGACATTTCAAGATGCTTGTGTTCGCGTAAGGAATGACTGTGTTGTGTACTGATAGCTTTCTTCATAGTCTCAGCTCGTCACTTCAGGGAACACACACACACACACTTCGCTGGAAGACAGAAGAGTTAGGGGAGACATGATCACCACATTCAAGATTCTCAAGGGAATTGATAGGGTAGATAAAGACAGGCTATTTAACACAAGGGGCACATGCACTAGGGGACACAAGTGGAAACTGAGTGCCCAAATGAGTCACAGAGATATTAGAAAAAACTTTTTTAGTGTCAGAGTGGTTGACAAATGGAATGCATTAGGAAGTGATGTGGTGGAGGCTGACTCCATACACAGTTTCAAGTGTAGATATGATAGAGTCCAATAGGCTCAGGAACCTGTACACCTGTTGATTGACGGTTGAGAGGCGGGACCAAAGAGCCAGAGCTCAACCCCCGCAAGCACAATTAGGTGAGTACACACACACATGCTGCAGTGTATAGGCTGCTCTTTAGGTAATGAGGGACTTCAGGACATTTTTATCACTTAAGCACCATATGGTATATGCGGTTGACTTATTCAAGACGTGGTAAACACACCACGTGAATTGTCTATAGTAGATAAAGGTCCTGATGTACTGCCCCCCACAGTCAAAGTCAGCACGTGTGGCTCACATCTCGCACTAATGTTCCTGGCAGACACTGTACTTCCATCAAGCTGTGCGCCAGATGCAGATCACCCTGCTGTCACCTCGTGTCAACCTGGCCGATAGCTCGTTGATTGAGCAGGTAAAGTAAAAATGTTTCTATGTATTGTGATTGTTCAATGTCTGTTCAACAGTGTGTACCAGACACTTTCCCAACCTCATCAACTCTCTACTAGCCTCACTGACACTCTCCTAGCTTTATTTACACACTCCCAGCCTCACGATCACTCTCCCAGCCCCACTGTCACTCTCCCAGCCCCACTGTCACTCTCCCAGCCCCACTGTCACTCTCCCAGCTCCACTGTCACTCTCCTAGCCTCGCTGTCACTCTCCCAGCCCCACTGTCACTCTCCCAGCCCCAGCGTATGCCCGAAACACTTTGCGTAATAGTGGCTTTAGGCATTGTCTGTACTAGCTATACCTATAAGTTAAACAATCCCTGTAAATATTTATTGTATGTATGTACCTTACCTAAATAAAATTGTATTGTATTGTATTGTACTGTCACTCTCCCAGCCCCACTGTCACTCTCCCAGCCCCACTGTCACTCTCCCAGCCCCACTGACACACTCCCAGCATCATTGACACTTTGTCCTTAGGGTGTCCCGACTCTTACACTATTCCAGTCTAACGCACTTACATTCCTACTCTATTACTCCTACACTATTCCATTCTGTGCCAAATCTGTTCATCTAGTGATCATTGTTTCCTAGCTCCCTATTTTGATTTCAGTTATTTGTATTTCCCTGTTAGTTAACACTTTAACTCTAAAATATTATTTCACCTTGTTGGCTCCTTAATATTTTGCTTAATGAAGCAGTCATCAATAAATTCTAAATAATCTTATGTGTTGTATTTCCTGTTTTGTTAAACCACTTTATTCCACTAAAATCAAAGTCACCCATAACACAAATGCAGTATGACCTATATGTTGTAGATATTTCATCCCAGAAATGCTTTTCTTCCATTCTGTCAAAGTGTGGTGGCCTTTATGGTATATAATTGTTATTATTAGATTATTATTCTTTTAATTTAATTCTAACCAAATAGTTTCTGCGAGTGGCACAGTTTTGATGCCCGTTTTCATAATCAATGTGACATTTTCCCTGATATATATATGCCTACTTTCCCTTCACATCTAATCTGCCTATCCACTTGAAATAATTTCAATCCTTTTATTTGATATTCGGTTATTAGTTCCCTGCTTTCTACATTCATCCACATTTCAGTTACTGCTATAATATCTAGTGTTTTTGTGTAGACAAGAGCATTGAAATAATTTATTTTGTTTCTAAGACTCCTACTATCTGTGTAGTACACCTTAAGGGTATTGTTATATAATACACAAAAGGATATTGTTATGTAATACATCTTATGGGTATTGTTATGTAATACACCTTTTGTAATAAGTTTTTGAATGTGTAACGTTGGGAGAAGTACATATGATACACGAGGAAAAAAGATAGACCTGTGCTTCATCTTATTCGGACAGTTAATAATGGTGCTACTGTTTGTCACAGGTGTTGCAACTGATTGATGATGCCGGGAACCCCTTGGAGATGAACATGTGTGGGCTCTTTATTCTCTCCTGCTCAAACTTCTTACCAGTAAGTCATATCAGTGCTATTATTGATATTTTTGTTATTAACATTACCTTTAATGCATGTTTTTTTCTTATCACATTAAATGCGTATCTGACTCCAGTAGAATATTTATAACTTTTTTTCTGGAGGGAGCCATATTTCCCGCGAGGCTCCCTGAAGCTATGTCATTGAGATTGCTCGATGCAATTGGGTCACATCAGACATGGGAGTTCAGTTTGGCCTACTGGGAATCAGAGTTGGACAGCAAATCATTCCAATTGGACACCAAATAGATGTCTCTGGAGTCCTTTCTTATTGTGGGTACTGGTGGCTCATTAGGGAGAGCTGCAGGCTGAAACCTGGCCTCCCACTCACTGTGCAGGGGATAATAAAATTTATACTTCTTCTTTGCAATACTGATATACAGTACATTATATCTGTACTGTATATCAATGAAAAAGGATGAGATAGATAGTGGTGAAATGAGTTCCAGGCAATCTCTTATTGCTGCCCTGAGGAAAGACACAGATGGGACACCAACAAACCAACTGCCCACATACCATACGAATGTCAGCAGACACGTGTCTATTGATATTTTTTTTATTAACATTCTGTCCAGAATGACAGAACCTGGAGCAACAGCTGAACCAAGGGAGAAAGATAAATATACTTCCACCTCAACCATTCCAGTTGAAAGGCATTCACCGCAAGCGCCTTGCGTTCGGAAACTAGTCACATAGGAGGGAAGGCATTAGTTCCATGCCAGCACAAAGAGGTCCACCTCGAGGAGACAGAATGATACATTGTTGATGGTCCACTCCATAGAAATGGAACAGAAGCAAGATAACCATCCATGAGAATATTGGACGCACCTTGTATGTGAGCCTCGTGGAGAACCAAACCACAAGAAACTAGAACCCAAACAATTTAAAGTGTCCTGGACAAATAAGACTAGGACACTGGAGCAATCCCCTGGTTTCAGCCAAGGCTGTCCTGCCCACCGATTCTGCCTCGGATGCTTTGTGGGTCAATCCTGTTTCCTTAGTTTCCTAGTCCCTGGTTTATCCTTGTTTTTCTTCTCTGTGGGTAGTTAGTTCAGGGATCCACAAGAGGGATTCCCCATCCCCAAGAAAACCAGTGTTGAATGTAATAAAACACCAATTTCTGGGCAAACCTGAGTAGCTCCTTCATTTCCCATTCCCCTCCCTCCAAGGTTGTTAATGTCTTGTGTATTTATCTGCTCCAGAGCCGACTACCTGAGCCAGTGGACAGCTTGAGCCCTGACTCCTCTCCCCAAAGGAATGGGAGGGGGTGGGATGAACGAACACATGCTTGTTTTAGAGATTCAATCATTTGTTTACACTGTAGCAGTAGTTCATTTATAGGGTTGTGTGGGTTTGATCACCTTTGAACCCAGCAGTAGTTTGTATTGTTTTGTCAACTTTCTGATTACCTTACCTGGTGAGGTGGCAGAGTGTCACCTGCTCCCTGTCCCTCTTGTGAGGGGGGGTTCTAGCTCTGGTCCCTGGTAGGTCAAACTGTGCACTGCAACTGATGCTGTCAAGTACTGTAATTGGGAGCAATCTCGGTGAGATAACTTCAGGGAGCCACCGGGGCTCACCCAGAAATTGGAGTTTCATGACATTCAATGGTTTTTTGTTTTGGTCTGACAGACTGTTGGAGCAATTGCATCAAACCTGGTGGTTCTTCAGCAGTTTTATCTACCTAAATCAAACCAACAAGATTCTCTGTAGCTACAGTTTCACAACATTGTTCATAGTCTTTGTTTTCTTAAGTATGGAAGACAATAGAATGTGTATTACAGAATTGCCTGAACAACCCGATAATAATTACATCTTGAAAATGACAATGGAAATGACAACTTGTATATTCCCTAAAAATTAATTAAAACTACAATTTTAGTCTAACATGATCTGTTGTCCTTTAAATATGATAAATTACGGATGGTGTTGACTTTTTATTGGTTATTAATAATCAATACTGATTTACAACATTTAATTAGCATTATAGCAATAATGATTCCATATATAAAATTACATACAAAAATTATACAGAAAGTATAAACATGTAAATCATTCACACCATTTTGGTCACCAAAACTTTGAGTCTCACGACACGTATGAATAGAATTTACGAAACACCTGAATACTTCAACTCGACTACCTCCATTATATTTACAAGCACATCAAATCTTACTGTCTTGTAGTTATACATTCAAAATGTAACACTGAGGCTATTACAGAAATGCCTCTACTATAAAAAGCTTGCTTGCCCAGGAACTTTATAATCTTATATTCAGTGGTCCACATGTATAATTAAGTTGCATTTAACAAATATGGATTTGTGCACTTAGGACATATATATATATATTATATACGCAGCTTTACCTACTGAGCCACCAACATACATAATAAATAAGGATTCCAGAGACACGTACCTGCTGTTCAGCTGATACTTTAGGTCCTCACTGGGGTGTCACTTTGGCATGAAGGTATTAGGTGATATACAGCCTAGTCATATAATTCATAATTCATATGAATATAAATTGCTAACCACCATATCTTGAATAACAATATTTCATTCACTTGGAACATCAGAGCCTTGAATTGCAGACACTACGAGCCTGCAGCTCTATCTACCGAGTGCTGGTGGTTCAGCATTTTACATGAGTAGGACATGGATCACCTAACACCATGCCAAGTTGGTATCCAAGGGAAGGTCTTAGTTCCAGTTGGACAGCAGATAGGTGTCTCTGGAATCCTTTCTTATTGTGGGTACTGGAGGCTCATTAGGGAGAGCTGCAGGCTACTGCTGCTTGTGTGGTTGGCAGTTCAAGGCTCCAATGGTCCAAATGAATGAAATGATATTAACCATGATATGGTGGATATTTTCCTTTAGACAGTTGGTTAAATATGGCCATATTACTGGCATTGTTGAGCTTATAGTGTAAGCGTTCTATGCTTTTATTTTCTTTGTAACAGTATTAATTAGAGCAGTCAAGTTAACATACCGGCAATTCATTGTAAGGAAACTATTAATTATCAAAGAATTTATTTGCTACAACATTCCGTTCCTCCCTGGAACATCTTCAGACGAAGAATGAATACCGACGATAAAACATTAGGCTAAATACACATGAGAAAGGCTTGAGGGAGTGTGAGGAGAGGTGATAGGGTCAATGAAACATTGGAAAAGACCTTGGGAAAAACTCTGGTACTGTTAGTGGGCTACGAGACCTCATTATCTGGTGATGTGTGGCGAGGTCTCTGTTCGAGTGTCGGTAGGGAAGGCGAAGTTGTTATTTTGTATGTTTAAGGGGGGTTCTTTTTTCTTTTATAAGTATAACTTTCAGACTTTGCAGTCTTCTTTGGTTAGTAAATTCCAGGAACATGCTAGAAAAAATACAAAAAATTCTGGAATCTACTACCAACCAAAGAAGATTACAAATCCTGGAAACCACACTTATAAAAGAAAAAGGGCCCACCTTAAATATATTAAAAAAAAGAAACTTTGCTCATTCAACACTTGGCAGCGTTTGGACCCAAATCTCACAGCACATCATTGGGCAATGAAGGTGTCTCTGCCGAGGTCTCTCCACCCACAGAGTACCAGTTTTGACCCAGTATTTTACCCAATGTTTGGCCCAATCACCTGTCTTCACACTCCCTTGATCCTTACTCGTGCATTTAGCCCAGTGTTTTACCGTCTGTATTCATTCTCCACCTAAAGATGCTCCAGAGAAGAATGAAACATTGTTGCAAATAAATTCTTCAATAATTATTAGAGTTTCCTTACCATATATTTTGGCAACGTGATTGCTATTCTTAACACAGATACTACGAAAATAGAAGCATAAAAAACTTACACTAAATGATCAATGATGCCAGTATTGTTGGATATACAATATACACACATATGTATACTGTACATGTGTGTATAATATATGTATGTATGTACGTATGTGCCCATGCATGTAGACATGTTTCATTGAATATGACGACTGGATATTCTGTGTTGACTATTTCTTGTTCAGGGCATCTATTCCTCTAACTTGTGCTCTTGCATCTTGGTTTAAGTGGAAGAGGATTTCTCCAAATCTCATCTTTGTTCAAGATTGAATAAAAGAACAAAAATGAACTATAATGTATTGTATGTATAGTACTGTATAATAATTTACACAGTTTCGAACCTACAAGGTTCATTGTCAAGCGTGGAGTGACATGACAGATTTCTGATTCATAACACTGGGAGGTCAGGTACATACAAAATTAAACCGGGAGAAAGGCGAAAGAAAACAAAAAGTAGAGGTAAAGTAAGGTGATAGGTTAATATATCAACAAATGACATTTGGAGAAATCCTCTTCCAATTAAACCAAGATGCAAGAGCACAAGTCAGAGGGATACAAGCCCTGAACAAAAGAGTAATCACCGTGGAATATGCAGTCATATTCAATGAAACATATATGCAGTATACTGTATACACACACACACACATTATACTGTATATATATATACATACATTATATATATGACATGCACGCAATAAATACTTGCTCCCCATCACACCGTCCAAGCTTCATAGTCACGATCAGTTTTGCTGTATGTATGATTACGGGTCTAACTGGCAAAGTTTGGAAGCCAGCCAGTCAGACCGGCCTTTTGAGCAAGTAAAGTCAAGTAATTACCATAAGAGGGAGCTAAGCCTGGAAGACTAAGCACAGTCTGTCACAAGGGTCAAGAGTTCCTAGATATCATTAAGTACTGTATACGTATCAACGAAAATAGATAAAATGAGCATTGTCAGTGGAGGCAGTTTTACCTAGGATTTTATCAAGGTAGAAATGATTAAGGAACAGTGGGAATGTAAAATTTCTGATCCTGACATTATAAATGGCAAAATGCATTGTTTTACTATTGGCAAAACAATTTGGTTCTGATAATGAAGAGCAAAATAGGTCAAATTTAATAGCAAATACAAATACATTACACATTATTAATCTCTCCAATGGTTGCAGTTTTGTGTTAGGAATGACAGGACAGAAATTCAAGTACAGTACGGAATTGTACTAGGGATATGAAATGAGCACAAACAACTTCCTTAGCAGCAGCAGCATCAGCAAGGTCATTGTGAGGATATTTTGTTATTGATACATTGTTAAATAGTGGAAATGGTCATGACCAGCAGATTTTGACCTGTCTGTACAGAGCCAGTAGAGCATGAATAAAAAATCTTCAAGAAGCATTTTGGAACAGTATGGAGTATAATTCTTCAATGAATAGATTAGGGCTTTACAAAATTTAGCAAATAGCTAAATTGACCTTACTCTCCATGCGAGTAAGGTAGAGACATTACGAGGGGACACATTGCAGACTGTTGCAACTACAGTATGTAATATTTGCAGTAAAACACCCAGGGCTTTCAAATGTGGCATTGGTCAAGGCGTGGTACAAATGTGAATTTGGAGAAACAAATCCACAAGGGCCGTGACGAGGATTCGAACCGACGTTCAAGAGCATCCAACAGCGTCTAAGATGCTCTTGGGCGTTGGTTCGAATCCTTGTCACAGCCGTTGTGGATTTGCTCATTTGATGCATCACGCTATTGTGATTTGTGTGTGTAATGAATTTGGAGAAACTGGAGGGCCCATGCAAAGTACTGAAGGCAGTGTTGATAGTGGTGTAGTAACAATAGAACACTAGATTTGTATGCACACTCATATCGCACATAAGAGTTTTGTATAATCTATATAAACAAGTTTATATTTGTAAAAATTTAGGGTGGACTGTAGACAATGTTTTCTAATAAAAAAATAATACAAATGCTGCAGTAGAGAATTTAAAGCCTGTTTGGCAGCTCTGGATCTGGTTGCACCCCATAGAACTATGGGAGTGCAAGCTGAGCAGACACTGAAGGGAAAAATGGTTCAGCATCAGGGGTGTGGTCCTCCATGTAAAGTGCACAAGAAACCCTGGTCCGCAGAGAAAGGGAAAAGACCACTAAGGGTATCCAAGAATAGAGTAGTGCTTAAAGAGGCCTCGCGCCAAGCAAGTAATTTTTAACCAATTTTTGTTTTCAGATAACCATTTTAAAATTATATTTTTAAGCTACATATTTAGCTTTATTTGAAAGAAATCAAACTATGTGATTAGACATTTGAGGAAAAAAAAAGGAAAGTTGTCATTTGTTGTTTTGTTTTGTTTAAACCTAGTTTTTTGTAGTAACTATGTATATGTTTAAGGACGAATTACAAATAAATGTAACTCGGAACACATCATACTAGAGTAAAGGTGACTCGGGGCCCTTTAACCCTTTGACAGCGGCTGTAGCAAAATGGTCATTTCTGCCTATGCGCAAAAAATACAAAATTAAAAGAATTTTTCATATAGATTTATTTGTATGCAAAATTTAAGAAACCCAGAAATAAATATTTATTGTTTCACTGGGTGGAGGCACTCAAAGGTTAGATGGTGGCTATGTCTGGCAACTCATGGTGCCCGACTTTGCTGACACTTCCTGTGTCATTCTCAAATGTTTCACCGATTATCACTCGTTTCTCTTTATTTACAAGAGTACGGTATGTGTGTTTACTAACTTGATAAATCACATAACGTGATAATATTTCAATTGATTTGTTTACCTGGTATACCCCATTACACCCAAATACATTAGAGAGAAGGGTTTAACATTCCATAGTATTGGGCTCTAGGCAATGACATGGCCTAAATGGCACCACATGGGCAAGAATATTGTTTGAAACAAAGGCATAAGCCACCAGTGTGGCTTCCACAGAGGATGGCAGGCTCCAAGTACAGTATACATAATGCATGACAATTCAATTATCTATTGGTTTACGTGGTATACCTCGTTATATTCTATTGAATAATAAATGCCCAAAGAACAGGTAAAGAGGGAGCAAGATGGTGTAACAATTAGGCAAGCAGGAAAAACATAAATTAGATTTAGCATTGTATTTCACAACATCAGAGTTAGGCGGCAAAATTAAAACAAAGAATAAACTTGAGGCAAGGAAAGTTAGAAATGAGAGCTTTAAATCACACTACCATCAGTTACGGTAGTGCGATATAATTAGGTGTGGCCTCTTATGGACCAACAGGTCTTCTGCAGTTTCCTTAGTTCTTATTGATACCTGTACATTCATTCCTGTACGGGCCTATACAAAGCAGCTCTTATTTACACCCATGATATAAATAAAAGCTGCCTCGTATGAGCCAACAGGCTTTGTGTAGTTACTTTATTATGATGTTCAAATGTTTTGTTAACCTGGTGTACTTCATAACCATGTACAGTAGTAGGCATCCATCAGTCTCAGGAGACTATGGAGTTGCGCTCTGGTGTCGGCCTGGTCTGGAGTGGCCTCACCAGGGCAGGTTGATTAGGTAGGTATACAGGTAGTTGTGAAAACCACATGAACATAATATGCCCATCATGTAATTATAATGGAATGTTATACCATGACAATTACCACATTGACATGGTAATATTTGCAATGATAACTGCATTAGCCAATCAACCAATCTTGAAATGACATCAGGATATTTTCATGTGTCAAGGTAAACTCCACTACATCCGTATAGACATTATATCAATTTTGGCATCATTTGTGTAAAGCTTTAAATCAACATATGATAACTGTATTACCCTGTGAATCAACATGATAACCATACACTAAGGAATAATAAACAAGATGAAAATACAGTATTTGGTCCATAGACAAATTTGGCAGAACAAGATACTAAGACAGTCACGTGTGATGTCACATCAAAGACATCAGCAATGGAGTGCTTGCCACACTGGGTGATAGATGCCACTGCCACAGAATCACAGTTGGATTGCACAATCATCAGAATGGTTAAGAGAGGGCAGTACATAGGCAAGGTCCAGTACTACACGAACCGATTTTCCCGAGGGCCACTAACCCTAGTGGCCTCGACGAGGACAGGAAGCCTGCGGCTTGAAGACCCCCCCCCCCAATTTGCATTGATGCTGTGGGGTCATCAGGGAGCTTTCCTTAGGGCAAGTTAGAAGCAGATCTTTCAGTAGGGCACATATCACAGGCTCCGAGGCAGATGTGGATAGGAGGGAGCGAGTTATCGGGGTTAGGATAAGGATTTGGGATGGGACGAGGGAAAGGAATGGTGCCCAATCATTTGGACAGTTGGGGATCGAGCTTCAACCTGCATGAAGCGAGACTGTCGCTCTACCGTCTAGCCAAAGTGGTTGGACAAGATTTGGATGGGACAGAAGTGGGCAAGTGGTACTAGAGTGTGGGTTGCCTCAAATTGCAGCCTACCACACGTGCGCGTGTGTGTGCAATATATATTATATTTATTAGTCTTGGGGAAAATGTACCTAATATTTATTTATCCATATAAAGTAAGATGCAGATATAAACTATACTAGGCTAAAATCACTGTTCTGTGGGGCTTATGCACCAAAGTATTTTACATTTTGTGTATAACTGCAAATGATTAATATAAAGTACTAAATGTGTATGGTTAGCCTTGTCTAAGAGAAAATAATGTACTGCAAGGAACCAGTTAAATGAAGTAAATTTTATATACCTTATGATAGGAAAAAAGTTTAGAATATTTTCTAAAAGAACAAGATCAATAGGAGTAAAAAAAACACTATCTGCTAAAATTTACTATATGGTGACAATCCAGCTTTCACAGCAAACATTAACGAATGTCTTAATCCAAATTTTGTATGGGTCATATGATAAAACTAATGCATTACTTAAATTATTAGTTATGTAGTCAAAATTTGGAGGTGGCATTGTATTACCATACCAGTACTGTCATTTATTCTGTACAATATTCTATTTGCCTTTAGTTTACAGTACAGTATTTAAAAAACCTTTAGTGATGTATTTTTAAGACACTAAAAAAAAAAAAAAAATGCCAAAGAGGTTTGTCCAATCAATTTGACTTTGGAAATTGTGATTTGTCCCAAGATGATTAGACAGTGCAACATTCTAAGTGTAATTTTTAGCTGGAGAAAAATCAAGGCCACATGGGGCAGGTATTACAAATATAAAAAAATTTATGATGTTATACAGTATCACAAAGATCAGAGTTATATACTATAGACTCGACTGGAGCCTCCATTGAGACACGAGGCCTAACAAACTTTTTTAAAATTTTTACAAGGTCACATTAAACAGTCATATTTCATCTGTTCTGCTCCTTAATGTATTACCAAGGAGCGAATTAGTAAATATATGATACAAAATTGGCTAATTCATGAAATAGTGTCGACATGCACTTTGAAAATCACAATTCCACTCACTTGGTCAGGATGCAATATCACTTATTTTGTACTTTAAAGCAATTTTAAGATAAAGGGCTAATCATTTCAGTACTGTACAGATATGACTTTAGTGCATCCATGTCTTGAAGGAAATATAATTTCAAGGTAAGTTTTTTAAAATGTAATTATATTATTTGTTGTATATATAAAATGGCATACTGTATTTAAATTGATGGTGGACATGTGAACAGATACTGTATTTATATTACGTTTTACCACTACGGAACAGTACCAATATATTATGTATCAATGCAATAATTACGCATTTGTATACATGCTGATAATTGTTCAAACTGCTCAAGTCACACATGATTGGCAATTTAAACATGGCATTTCATAATTTGTATTGTTATTACCTAATAGCCATGCAGTGGGCTATGTAGTATTTAAGGCTTTTCAATGTCGGAACATAAGGTGAGTGTGTGAACGCACAAAACTGAAGCCATGAACTGTAGCATCGTGCTTTACATGCGTACCATCATTCTGCAGCATTACCTCTTCTTGAAACGAAGTTTGTACAACCAGACAGTTAAGAAACATCAGCTATAGTACATATCTTATAATGTTTAACAATACTCTCTTTATCACAAGAATGCAGCACTTGCATCATGATTATTCTGATAATAAACTATGTTATTGACCTGCGAGTTGGCACCCCCCTCAGAAGAACAGCCAACCCAACATGTCTTGTAAGCTACTATAATTATTTATATCTTTGTTGGCTATATGTTCTATGTACCATGAGGAGTTGTTTGAAAGACATTTAAACCACACACATTTAGCATAATGATGACACTGGTAGTAGTAGGACATTGCTCAAGCTGTATTACAAAAGTATATGGAACCCTAGGACATGGAAGGTTTAGGTCACCTTACCTAGCAACTTTAGCAACTTACCAACTTACTTTAGCAACCAGGAGGCCCTGGTCGACGACCGGGCCGTGGGGACGCTAAGCCCCGGAAGCACCTCAAGGTAACCTCAAGGTAACCTTGTGGAACAATTCAGATAAACGAGCTCTAGGTTCCTTTAGGTTTTGTAAAATGCAACTTGTCAACATGTTTTTCGAGACTTTGAACAACAGACTTGCATTACCTGTGAGCACCTTGCACCCCTTCCCTTAATGAACCAAGCCATGAGCAGCTGCTGGTCTCGTCAATGGGAATATATATATATATATATATTTTTTAGCATCAATAAGTTCACTAATGATTCCTCCGTTATATAATACAAAGAAAGTGAATGACAATCAACATTTTCTGTGAATTTTTAAATTGTTTGCCTTGCCAAGCAACTTTGGGATGAGAGAGCTATACTGTACTGTGTTAATGTGCATTTAAAGCCAAAGTTATTTCCTGCAGAATTTCAGGTTGAAATTTGTAAATGTAAAATTTCATAATGGCATTACATAGCTAATACTGCACAATGTAAAAAATAATTATAGCTAGATTTTATTAAAGAATGGGGTATAATTTTTGCTATAAACCACAAGTGCTTACACTGAAAATGTTTAATTATTAAACTTTGCAGTACATAAAATTATTATTTGTTCAATAAACTGGCTCTGAAATATATAAGAATCTAGATATAGAAATAAAATTAAGATTTTCCATTGAAACTTTCAAGCACATTTTGATATCAAAAGCATCTGTACTCATAAAATACAAGAACTATGCTGTACCAAATTACTGAACAAGCAAACAACTCTTCATGGTGCTATATCCACTATGAATGTACAGTAGCGTGATAACAGTGCGGTGCGCGTGAAATTGCCCTATAGCTAAGAATAACCAAGTAATCAAGTCTCACAGTATAGAGAGGCAGTAATTTGGTAATGCTGTTAATGATCACATTTGAGAGGCAGCTTCCACCCACACCAAATTATCACGTTACTCGTGACTAGTTCGTCTACATATCTGCAATGGGAAACTACAACCGTATAAATGCATTATTTGGTAAGTGTCGTAGCAAAATGAGAAATTATAAAAATATCACAGAAATTCACAATACTTGGCTCCAGAATGAAAAATGGCTAAAACTCCTCTGCTAAAAATTTACACATTGAAATATTTTATATTTCTGAACTTATGATAAATATGGTACACTGTGCACAAGAATTTTGCTAAAATCAATTACTGTAATCACAATCAAATGCTGATCAAAACATGTCATGTTCTACTTTATATCATTGCAATTTCTTTCAGACATACGTCAACATCACAAATATTCTCTAAATATTAAACAGGATGCACTGTATCGTCAGAAAATCAGAAACTTGCATTTGTCAGGTGACGAGTCATTTAACTAATATAGTTTAAACTCTAAATTTTGTATTGTGTGTGCAATTACTAGTTAGTTAACTATGTAATTGCCAAAGTGTAATTACACGTTTGCGAGTGTGAATGTGTGTGTATGCGTATAATTCCCTAAGTAATTACGCACACACACACATTCACAATTAAATGTGTGATTAGACTTGGGTAATTACACAGATGTGTTTTTAGCTTGCCACTATCACTCCTAAATGGTCAGGACTTTCTGTGCAAGACAACCAAACAACTCAAATGTCAGAAGTGATTATCTGAAACTATACTCCTGATATCTAAGCTATTACAAAAATGGACACAAAGGATAACACAATCTGATTACATGAATGCATTCAAATTTGGCTGGATGATTGTATTAAATTTAAATTTATACAAAATCATATATACATTATATATTTTAACTTTGGACTTTGATTTTTAAAATTAAATGGAATACTACCTTACTCATCTATTCAGCAAGAGCATTTAAATTATGCAAATGATGACAAAAGTGCTAAACATTCTCCAGTCTCACCCAGCAATACATTCAAGAAAATATTCTTATTTTAATTATGCTTTGCCATGTGTTGAACCTGTAGGAACTTGGTTAATATATTGCATTAATGTACTGTAATGAATTTAACAAGATCATATGCAAAACACAAATACTCTACATGAATATTATCTGTAAATAATAGTGAATATGACTGCAAAATATTTACTGCTTAACTTGACGGCCAATCTGAAGAATTAGTATTATCAGTGCTATAGAAATTTGAAGTTACATTTGGTCATAATTTATCCATTATATTTCTTTCACAAACTCCAGCAACGGTAACCTGAAAAATGAGCTGGCAGTGATGTGTGTATTAAATAAGCAATTACATGCCTAGAGTGATGCATCATTAAGGCCTTATTTACAAACCTTTACTCATAGTAAAGCACTAACCAAATATCTTAAACACATACATTCGCAACACTCGCTCAAGCATATTTGTGGGACCCAATAATCCTCTCTCGCTCCCTTTCCCTCGACGTAGAATTAAATGAGTGCTTCTTTTTACGTCTCATCTTGTCAATATCCTTTCCAAAAACGTCCCCAGAGCGAAGAGCCGAGATGAGGTCATCAAAGTCATTTTCATTTTCGCCACCCGAGCTACTGTCTCCTGCATTAGGCTGACCATTATTGGCGACTCTAGAGATGCGTTCCCTTGCACGCTTCTCTCTCTCAACTTCACGACGCTGTACAAATAGAGAAGGATTATTAAAAAAAAAAAAAAATCAAATGGGAAAAAACTACATATTGAATAAAAGGCAAATATAACTGGGGATATACAAAAACATCACAGTCTCACATGAATTTCTTACAGTATATCATATACGCATGAAAACTTACATAAATAGTATTTTGTATATATCCAGTATGTATATTTGCTAGTAGATACACAACCGTAAAAGTAATGGAACATTCATATGCTTCCACGCACGTGCTCCTATGGGCTCATTCACTTGTGCAAGTGCGCGCACACATACAAACTTGTCGTCATGGTCAAGTCAAATTCTAAATATTTCTGTTTTGCTAAAATAATATGCTTCATCAGTTTGATGATAATTTTGCTTGATTGCATATATGTTTTATGTTTGATTTTAACTATACAGTGTAAAGTTAAATCCTACCATATGTGACCTAGTGGTTTGCCCTAAAGAATGTTTGATTATTAAATATAGTACATTAATTGATATTAAATGTATGCTATTAAATGTTGTTAATTTGAGTCTCATGCTTTTATAGGATTCTTTAGACGTTTCAAAATTAACACCCTAGGTATGTTGTGTATCAGGATTATAAATCCCAATTTTTTTTTTTTTTTAATTCTTGCACTAGATGGAAGGGTATTTTGAACATTTTAGGTGGTAGAATGAACCCGTGTGAAATTTTTGTAATTAACATTCTGACCATATCTACCATAACTACCATATACAGAGCTACATCTCCTGCATTCTCGGCAAGGTTTCATGCACACCAACACCTCTAATTTGTGTGTATAATTACCTAAGTGTAGTTAAAGTTTGAAAGCTATGCTTATGGTGTCCCATATTCCCAGTACTCTGTCATCAGAGGCTTTGAAACTACTGACAGTTTTGGCATCCACCGTCTTCCAACTTAAAATTGTTCCGATCATCTACATTCTGTTTGCAAAGAAGAACCTCCATATTTTTGGGGCTTCTTTGCTTTCTTAGCTTTAATTACAACTCTTGTTCACCTCTTGTTCTCAAAGTTGCGGTTTCCAAGAATTATTGTCAGTTTTATCAATTTCTGTTAGTATTTTGTCACAATATTTCTACAGAAATACACAGTATTTCTTCTATCTTCCAGCTTTGGCAAAATGAACACCTCTAGCTCCTCATAGCTCTTGTTTTTCAGTTCTGGAAGCCATTTAGTAGCATGTCTTTGCAGCTATTCCAGTTTGTTGATGTACTTTGGGACATGGGCACCCTACAGCCACTACACATTTCAATTTTATACTCACAAAAGTTGTGAACAATATCTTTAGTATTTCACCATCCATATATTTTAAAATCCATTCTGAAATTGGAAAGCATAGCATATGCTCCTCACACAATGTTCTTTATGAAGTCCTTGGGTGACAATTTACTATTCAAACCATCTGAGTTCTTCAAAACCTTTTCACTCAACTTAAAGGTTATGTGGTACCTTTTTCTCCTATTCTTAATTCCATAATGTGGCATTTATTCATCTGCCAACTGTTGCTCCACATACTTATTTTTTCCAGGTCATCAATGGTATGGCAATCATTTAAGTCTCTTCTCAATCTCTTTCCTGGCAGCTTAGAATCATCAGCAAACATCTTTTACCATTATGGAAATGTCTTGTCACAATAATATAGGATAAGAACACACACTTTAGTATTTATATAATTTATGTAATTTATGTAAATAATTGTAAACACCATGACTTTTGCACTCTCCTTATTTCATTATCAAGGTCTGAGCATGTGAATTGTTCAGGATAACATCTCAATGGCCAATTACTCATTTACTCAGACCTTGATAAAGCACTCGGTGTTTACAATTATTTACATAAAGTACATAAATACCCAAGTGTGGGGGGTGTTATCTGCAAAAATGTTCATATAAATTTGTATTGCCTATGGTAGATCATTTATATAGACAGTGAACATTACTGGTGCAAGAAATGAATCTTGTGATACTCCACAAGTAACATGTCTCCAGTCTGATACATTGCCTCTAATTACCACCCACATTTTTCTGTTGCAATATTTTTCATCTATGTCATGCCTCCCAAATGCTTGAGCATCTTGATTGATGGATGCCGTTATGGGATTGTCAAAAGCTTTTTCAGGTCTCAATAAATGCAGTCAATCCAACCATCTCTTTCCTGTAAGGTCTTCACAGCTCTATCATAAAAACTAAGTAGATTTGTTATTCGGGATCTTCCCGTTTAAAAGCCATTTTGTCTCGTGTAATTTCTTTCCAGATATGCTACCCATTGAATTATTCTTTCTAGTGTTTCAACTACCACATTTAGCAATACAGGCCTATGATTAAGAAGGGTCTCCTCTGCTACCATTTTTGTAGATTGCAACTATGCTTTTTTCATATATCTGCCCAGATTGCTGTACATAAAGAAGCCTGAAATCAATTTAAATGGGATACACAGCTCAGGTGCACATTCTCGCAGAATGCAAAGTAAAACTCCATCTGAGGCAACTGCTTTGTTTCTACCTAGCTCCTTTAGCATTCCCTCCTTACCCTTTCATTTCTAGACACTTCTATGTACTCTATGCTGTTCTATGAAAACTTCATTTTGCTAACACTTTAGAACTGTCCATTTAATGTTTTACACATTTCCTTTTCATTCTGTGAATCTGTTCCCCCATTTACAGTCTCTGGCTTTCATCCTTTACATGCAGCTTGCTTTTAATAAATTTATAGAAAATGCCTGGTTCTGTTTTTATATTTATCTGCTACACCTTTCTCAAAGTTTCCTTCGGTCTCTCTCCTCACTTATTGTTTCTTGCTTATTTGTATTGCTGGTATGTTAAGCTGTTCCTATTTTGAACCCTTTTTTTTTCTCTTGTTCTCGGACACTTGCAATTTCTGTTGAATCAATCCTGTTTTCTAGTTCTGCATGTTTTGATATAAATGTTGTGCCTTTATCATATATCTCACAAAATTTGGCATACATTTCATTTACTTCCTTGCATAACAACATGTGTTCCCAATCACATTCATTAAAGAACTTGCTTAGTTCCCCCATAGTGTCTTTACCTGAAACAAAGTTTTTCAACTATAGTACATTATTTAAATTTTCCTCACTTCTAGATTATATCACATTGCATATTTAATTTTCAACAGGACATGGTCGCTCTTCCCCAAGGGAGGGAGGTACAGGATGTCAAAAAGCTCTTCTTTCTTGGTACATATAAAATCCAGCATTGATGAAACATTGCCTTCCCTCATTCTCGTGACATGCTTAACTTAACGTGTTGATACATAAATGTCTCCAGGGGTGAGGTTTTCGAATCTGCCAGTCTAAATGTCCTCCAGTCTAGCTTTGTAGGCCTCCCACTATCAATTTCAAGTTGAAGTCCCCCAGTACCAACAATCGTGATTTATGTATCTGATCTTACATCTCTTTCATGACCATTATGAGGACCTCTCATTTGTCATCCAGCTCCTCCTTTGTCCATGTGTTGCTTGCTGGTGGACTGTAGGCATCACTATTATCAGTTTGCGTATGTGTTACAGTCACATTTCAATGAGTGGAACACAAAGTTGTTAAGCCTTAAGACAGTAATTCCTTTCATCCACACATTTTCTAACTAATGAATAATGAATATTTACAATCAACATTCCTTAGATCAACAAAGCAAATTTCTAGCTACTGCAGCACAATCTGAAAATGTTACAATGTGCCTAGTTACTATTGTTGAAAGACAATTTTGGTATATTAATATTTATGCCATACATTCTTGGAACTAACTTAGAACACAATGTTCAAAATGTTATACAAATAATAAAATTAAAATGCTGATGATTAGAGCCGAGGAATGAGTACACCACCACCACCTCTGCAACTGTCAAGAGAAGTTACCCATGCAACAGAGGTCAGAGAACCTCTCAAGTGGGCAGCTGAAGTAATGCAGTAATTACATTTGCATAAATATAGATGTTTAGATAATCACAAATCCACCAAGAATAATTTTTGCCGAGCTCGTAACATCTACATAAACATGCAATGATTATGTCGTTATACAGGGAAAATATTTTTAAATACAGTAAATGGAAAGAAAGTTCTAGAAAAGTAATATTTTACCCTGAATAGCAAAATCCAAATATTTGTGAATACAAAGATGAGTAAAAAAAGCTTTTTCCGTCGTGAAAGTCTGAGTTAGGAGGAAAAATTAACTACATTACAATACTAGTACGCTAGTCAGTTTTAAGTGGTACCGTGGTTTAAGTGTGCTCACTACATCACTATACAATCCATTTTTTTTTTCCATCTGCTTCATTTGGTATGGTTCACATGGTGGAAATTCCTTTGAATTTGATTTTCTAAAGATAAAGGCATTATCCAAAAATTTAATGTATGTACAGTATTTAATACACAAAAGATCTATTGAATTCAAAAGATGAATTTTGAGTACTTGTGTACAGAGACAGATGAGAGAAGAGATTCTGTAGAGTAAGGAGCAACAAATATAAACTATAGTATTGGTCTTATTTTATGCTAAATCAGTATTTGTGTTAAACAACATTTCTTTATGAAGCAAGTCGAGTGTTGAGTGTTCAGGTCAGGGCAGTTTAATTTATATTTATATTTTGCTTCACACTTTGATTTTGCAACTCCCAGAATACTGTACCAGTAATGTGGCGACAACTTTGCTCCCGTGCATAACGTACTAAGAGTAGTGATAGCATGTCGGTAAGAAAATTCTCAGATACACCTCTCATTCTTCTTAATTCAGAAGCAGCCAAGTTCCGAGTATTCAATTTGTCACAAAAGTGCATTAAAAGTTTGTGCCTAAACCGAGTGTTACAAGTATACCAACTGTACAGTGTATATGTTCATCTCATTAAAAAATAATCAGATGCTACCTAAAGGACTAATTTTAATATAAAGCAATAACTACAGCTTTAAGCAAAGTGTTCTTAAAATATATATGTACAGAATATAGGCATTGAGCCATTTTTAT